TAGTGATATTTTCATGTCAGTAGTATCGAATGAAAATCCAAGAAAAGTACACCTCAGGCAAGGAGTGAGATGGTACACATTAGTTAATATTAATTTTGATCCCAAACCACTAACAATCTTATAACTGTCCTAGAATTTTTCTGACACTCCCTATATACTCTCTCTTGCAATCACTACTATTACTAGTATGTCATCTAGATAAATTATACATGAGGTAGCAACTTTTTTAAATTTTTTCAAGGCAGGATTCATCGACTCATCAGTAAACACATGTGGTGCTATAGGGCGATAGATTTATAGAATGTCAAAGTAAAGAGGCCAAAGAGGCCCATTGGGAGTCAATTAATTGATAATTTTTGTTTTCAAATCTTAAACAGATATTTTCGATCTATCTCTCTAAAGATACAGAATATTAAGCATCTTTCAAGTCTACTTTTGTGAGATAACAATTATTATGTAGAAGCTTCGTCACTACTGTTCGATTATCCTCTAGTATAAAGTATATAATTGTATTAAGGTTTTTCCGGTCTAGTATAAACTAGAGTCCTTGTATATAACTTAGACAAGAGTCCGGACACAGCTATACTTCTGTCCTTTTCTGTTTTCAAAAAATGCATTGATGATTGAATAAAGGAATAAGACATATATATCGAGCTCTGTCTTCTCAATTCCCCTAGTATCAATGATTGTCAGAAACCGTTTTGAGGGTTAGATTATTTGTCCAACCGTTCATAGCCGTAGGATGAAGTGAGAAATAGGGCTATTTTAACTAGAATAACTATTAGATTTTCGAATAATGAACAACAGGGTGTTCTAATTTCGAATCGATAATTCTCATAATCAATTCCTGAGATGGCTATTGCAAATTTTTGTCATCAGATATTTCTTCCCTTCATTAGATAGATAAGAAAGATAATTCAAGTGTTCTACGTAGTGTCACATATAGTCAAGAAAATATAGTTGTTTTCTGTTGGGATATAAAAAAATAGAACATATTCAATTGTTTCAATATAATTTTCTCCGATTCTCTCAATTCAATAACACTCATCAGAAATAAAAGTGACAAAATCAAAACAACAATATATTTGATAGCGAGTGCTTTATTAATTGTGTTTCCCACCTCTTCCTGCAGTCTACATTCACCTGTACATTTTGAATTTGATCTGAATTAATAACACCGTGAACTGATGATATAGCACATTGCAGTTTCCCTAAATCTTCTAGTTTTGATTCGAGTTTTGATTTCAAACTTCCAATTTCTGTCCGTATCATCTCATTCTCATTTTATTTCTCTGCGAACGTATCATTCAGTAATTCCCAATACGATGACGACGGGACTCTTTTTTTGAACGTCTTTATTTCATGAATTGACGGCACAGCAGACTCTTTCAATTTGAAATCCATCAGCTTGAAAAAATCTCTATCAAAATGGGCCTAAAATTCATCTTTCTTGTACTGTTTTTACAAGTTAATTTGAATATTCACCTCACATATTGCGGATTTCTTGAAATCAACTTTCCATTCTGGACGTTTCATTGCATTCTTCCATGACATTATCTTTAAAGGATCATTCGAAGAATCGAATAACTTGAATCCCTTTTCTAATGAATTATCGCAATAATGTACATACGCAGCAGGACATTGAAATAATTTAAAATGCTAAATTTTGGCGGTCATAAAATTTCAAAGTGACAGTGACAGACATTCGGAATGATTAAAAAAAGCGGGCGAGACGACTATGGTGTTTCGTCACATTGTCAGGTGGGCAAACCAAATGAAACAAAATATTAAAAATCCCAACGGCTGTCAGTTTTGTGTCCGGACTCTTGTCTAAGGTATATACAGGGACTCTAGTATAAACCAGTGAGTTATATTTGATTTCTTGGCGAGGAAATATGTGGAGAGAAAAGATTCTCCCATAAGGCCAATTATTGAAACTGTATCTATGCTCAGCAGCTTATTTATAGCCTTTTTCATCTCAGCCAAATTTCTTTCCTGTATGGAAGTTATTGGCCAAGACTGTTGGTAAGGTTTCTTGGCAAAATTCGTTTGATAACCCTGCACCTAACTCAAAATGGGAGGATAATTGGTTGAAGCTTCACAATTTCTGATTTGTACAGTAATGGATCCTGTACTGCTGCTCACCTCTGTCGAAATTGTTCCTCTGTTCCGTTTAAAGCCTGAGATGTTGGCGGTTATTAAAGTAAGAGGAAATAACGGCTTCTTGAGCAGATGCGCTCCTATATTCTTCATATCTCGATTGTATTTTACTCATGTAGGCGTACGCCCCGAACAGTAGTTTGTCAATAGGCCCCTCCACGCATACTTTTTGGTGGTGCAGTTGAGATGAGGAATGGTCAAATACCTCCGATGTAACGATATGGAGTGGGAGGCATCATCAGCCAAAAGTTTAGTCCCATTGACAAAATTTCATTGGATTCGTTTGTATTGGCTGCGAATACAATTTATAATTGGGTCTAGCTACTGCAGAAAGACCCATTACTAGCTATTACTGTGAATTGATGAGGAACTCATTCAACAGACTTTTCTGGAAGAACGGATTGTATTTCATCAGGGTTGAGCCTCGCGGAATCATTACCTAACAATCTTTAATCGGAGGATACTTGGTAACCATTTCAGCTCTGGACTCTTGTCGATTCCTTCAGTGAGGGAAACCTTTCCACCCCCTGCAATTTCTTCGTGGATCTCCGGTCCAAAAAGAGGTCTCAGAATCAGGATTTTTTTCCAGAGAAATAACTCTTCAAGAGGATGAGTTATATTAATTCTCTATCTGAATCTTGCTGGGGATCCTCATCAGGAAGCTCGACTGGTCGATCCTCACTTTCGAAACAATTATATATGATGCGAGTGTGAGTTGCTCCAGCTACTGCCAAAGGTCGTGGAGTCTAGGGTAGAAAAAAGAGACAAAAAAGTAAGCTCTGTCTACAGTATTATATACCTCATATATTGTGAATGTGAGGCTCGGATGAACGGAGGAGTGAGGTTCCCCTCTCCCCCCGCTTTTTTTAAGGTCGACTCAATCAGGTATATATATATATACCGATAAGAAAAATTATTTTTTTTTTCCCTGTCAACAATGACAAGATAAACCTGCCACGTAGTGACATTAACAGAAACAAGAAACCCACAAGAAACGGTTCATTAATCAGCTGTGCACATTTTTAGCTCTTCTCAGGCCAGTCTTGGGCAAGTCTATAGTAGCGGCGCCTCGTATGAGTGCCTGTACTGTATATATGTTAGCGATATTTCCTTATAACTACGCCATTGTAGCTAGAATGTGGTAAAGATGCTTAGTCAGGAAATGTCAGCAGTCTGAAGTCGAACAGCGTTGAATATTGAAAATACGAATAATAAAATAAAGACTTTGGAGTTAATTCCATTATCATTAGGAATGATTGCCTCTTGTAGTTTACATATTTTTCGTTCTATCAAGCGTATGCCGGATGTCTATAACAAAAAAACCAAACCCTGCATTCAGTTGATAAACAAGGTCATAGTACCGTAGCGGCGCCTCGTATGAGTGCCTGTATAGTACATTTTTCATTTTATCCAGCGTGTGCCGAATGTCCATAATGAAAAAACCAAACCCTGCAGTCAGCTGATAAACAAGGCTATAGCACATTTGCTATAGTAGCGGCGCCTCGTATGAGTGCCTGTATAGTATACTTTTCATTCTATCCAGCGTTTGCCGGATGTCTATAACAAAAAAACCAAACCCTGCATTCAGTTGATAAACAAGGTCATAGTACCGTAGCGGCGCCTCGTATGAGTGCCTGTATAGTACATTTTTCATTTTATCCAGCGTGTGCCGAATGTCCATAATGAAAAAACCAAACCCTGCAGTCAGCTGATAAACAAGGCTATAGCACATTTGCTATAGTAGCGGCGCCTCGTATGAGTGCCTGTATAGTATATTTTTCATTCTATCCAGCGTGTGCCGGATGTCTATAAAGGAAAATCCAAATGCTGTCGAATTAAAACTGAACATTCCTATCATGCTTTGTGTGTCCACCATTCCTCAATTTCCAGCTATGATGTAATTAAGTAATGTGTAGGTACTTACTCGATAAACTCTACTAAATATTTCTTGACACTCTAATTTTCTTTCTCAATTTGGGTATCTTTCTATAATTTTTCGTTGATTTTCCACTTTTGCCCATGATAAGGTACACTTTTTATCACTTTACTAAAACTAAAACACTTCTAAATCAACACTTGTCTCTGAAACGTTCATACCCTAGCGGTACGAAAAGAACAATGACTATCGGCTGCTAGGCGGTATCGGTCGGGCACAGGAATGTTAGGTATCAGGGTGGATGTTGAAAATTTGTCTTTGAACTTCGTACCTAGTAGAGTCGAAAGGAACGACTACAAGTGGTTATTTTTATAATTCGAGACGAAAATGTGAAATATAATTTATGTTTAGGTCCTGAATTTTAGGATTCTTCATGTTAACATCAACATAACCCTAACCTAAATACATTTGACTCAATGTGAACAACTGGAAGGGATACTGCAGGGGCAGCTGCAACAAAGATAGTTTGATAATAATTGATTGCATCATTCTCGTTTTTCATAAATGAATATTCATATTTAATCACGTTTACTCTTGAATAGAAGAAAAAACGAGAAAATATTTCAAATAATGCGAGCGCTTCCCATTAACCAACATATGATAGAAAGAGATAGGTATCCGTAACCACTGCGGGTTGCCTGAACAATCTTTTCGCCTCACTCGTTCACAGAGGATGCCTTCCAGGTGTTTACATTGAGTTATTCGCCTAAATATGCCTTCGATGCATGTGAGTCAGGACACAGCATATTTCCGTGAAAGATGATGAGAAAACGGAAAAACGCGATTTTGTTCATCTGGTTTCAAAACTATCCCAGACTTGTTAAGGATTCGCGCAGTCCAAGGACCCTTTCAACAATTTGGAACACGAACAAACCTAATATGTTCCGTTCCTCTCACTTTCCAGCTACGGCATCGTCTTGTGCGAACTGATCGCCAGAGTGGAGGCAGATCCGGACTACCTGCCGCGGACCGACAACTTCGGCCTGGACTATCTGGCCTTCACCGAGCTGTGTGAGCCGAACGTCGTACCTGAGTTTTTACGGTTGGCCTTCAGGTGAGTGAGTCGAAACTGAAATGGATGGAAATACTGCTTCCAGAAGTCGAGTACGTTAAGGGATAGTCTCATATTTATCCAAAGTTTAAATATCGCTGTTATAAATGAATGAATGAATGAAATCCTACTAGGCTATGTATAAATAGTTCATAAGGAGATAATATGCAAAAATCGCCCTGGTCGACGATATTTTCTAAGGCTTTATTTCTGTGGCCCTTACTTTGGCGCTTTTTAACAGACACTACTGGTACTTGTTTTGGATATCTCGGACGCCAAAACTACACACACTGGCACAATTAGGGGAACGGGCAAAATTTACACTGAGTTTGACATCAATTTTCTCTCGAACCCATCGCTCGATTTGAATTTTTTCTTTCACGAATTGTAGCTTCATTCTTCACGAATACATCTGAGGAATAAATATCTTCAAACGAATCGTCTTTATATCATATACAGGGGTGTAGAGAAAGTACGTATTTTTCGGTATTTTTTAAGACATCCTGTGGAGTGAACATTTGATAATTGAAACGGTTTCTCAACATCAAATTGTAGCCCCATCCATTCCGAATACTCTCGTTTCTCATTCATTATGATATCTCAGTTATTCAAGAAAATACTGACTTACAAAGGAAAGGTGGATATTGAAATTAATTTTACCACCTCGAAACTCGAATTGGACCTGAGAATGTGTCGTTTCTTAAGTTGTTTCTGAGATAATTTCTTCTTCAAGTTGAATATTTCTCTCATTTTCACTTATTAGTCTATTGTGACAAGATTTCCTAGAAATATACAGATATGATTAAAAAGAAATGAAATTTTATCAAAGCCTTCATTCAATACCAATAACATTAACTTAACGAACAATACGGATTCAGAACACCAACAATAATTTCAATAACGTGTGTGACCTCCACGCGCTCTTATTATAGCAGTCATCCGTCTGCTCATGCTTTCGATGACATTGTCGATCATTTCTTGAGGAAGATTATCCCAAATCTCAACGTCTGTTTCGTAGTGTTTGGGAGACTAAAAATCGGTCATCTCTAGCCGTGGTTGATCGTTTTCTTCCTTGGCCTCGTCTCCTCAGGTACCCTCCTGTTTGTCTCCAACGTCTCACATTCCGATAAATCGTAGATTTTGATTTTTCCAGCATGTCAGCAACATCATTGTACGATCTACTATTTTCAATTAATGCTACAGCTCTCGCCACATCAGTAGGAGTCAAATCTCCCATGTTGAATTTTGATTAATCAAATTTATGAATTTGGAATTGTGAATCGCTTGACTTTGACATGAACAAAATAGCCAACGTTGATTAACAAAAATAGCATTTCACCAAAACAACATTGAAGCAACTTTTATCACCCCTGCATATTCATAAGAGTATTCGTATATGTGTCTTTAAACAGTAAACCGATAAGTAAAACTGCGAACAATTTTCATCTTGAAATAAAAATCCTCACTGAACCAAGTTGGAAAACGACACGTTCTTATCCTCAGTTCGAGTTTCGAGGTGGTAAAATTAATACCAATATCAACCTTTCCTTTGAAACTCTGTATTTTCTTGAATAATTGAGATATCAAAATGAATGAAAAACGAGAGTTTGATGTTGAGAAACCGTTTCAATTATCAATGGTTCACTCCACAGGATGTCTTAAAAATACCGAAAAATCCGTACTTTCTTTACACCCCTGTATATGATATAAAGACGATTCGTTTGAAGATATTTATTCCTCAGATGTATTCGTGAAGAATAAAGCTACAATTCGTGAAAAAAAATTCAAATCGAGCGATGGGTTCGAGAGGAAATTGATGTCAAACATAGTATATATTTTGCCCGTTCCCCTAATTGTGCCAGTGTGTGTAGTTTCTAAGGAGGTCTGGGTAGCAACAGTGAAGAAAGGCATAGGATGCAGGGAAGAGTGCCGCTAGACACTCCACCCGTTGAATGTCGAATGTCAGAAATCGTCTTTCGTCTTTGACAACACCATAAATTAACGGGTTTTTCAAGAAGGGGTTCCCCGTGCCCTTGTGAAAGCGGTACTTGAAGGAAAATATCAATAAAATTGATGGGGCAGACAGCCAGCACGTGATTAAATCTAAACTAGTTTGGTTAGAAAACACTGAAAATAATGTCAATTGAAGACATGGACTAGTGCCTTACCTGAGAAGCTAGGACGATGCCCCATTATTATCAATATTATTATTATTATTATTATTCCAGATGTTGTAACGTGGATCCCAAATGTCGGCCAACGTTCGCCGAGAACGTGCGCACGTTGAGCGACATTCTGAGCGACGTGAAACAGCAACAACCGGAAGCAATCGGAGACAAGGAGAAGCGCATGGCCGGATGCGCCGCGAAAAGCGAAGAACAGCTCACCGTTCTGGCGCACCAGTCCTGCGCTCCGCAACACCAGAAAAGTACGTATGGCCGATTTGAGTGCAATTATTCGGGATACACTTTTTAAGAAGTAGAAAATAAACTTTATCTACAACTATGGTGACATATATACATTGCTAACTCGATTTTCAACATTTAATGACAGACATTATTGTGATGAATCGGGTAATAAGAGTAATAATGTCAGTAGGATGACGTGATAATCTGACATCCCATCGTCTTGTCAAATTCAACTAGGTAGATATTGGTTCTACTAGTTCTACTAAAGCATATCACTATACTACTGTTTGTGAAATACACACAGATTCGACTTGTTTGTTTTATATTTCAATGTTATGTTATTTTTATGTCTTAGGTCATAGATAATATGTTCTTTGAACTGAATGTCCTTTTTATTTTTGAAAATATGAATCAGTAAATTGTATGTATAGAGTTGATTTATATCTTCTTTTCCAGCCCACCACCGCCGCTCCCTCTCCGAGGACACCACCATGCTCTGCCCCGCCCTCGCCACGCCCAGCGACAAGGCGCGCCGCCACGCCCTCCTCATGTGCCGCCAGGACCCCCACTACACCCCGCGCACCACCAACCCCTTCCTCTCGCTGCATTTCCGCGGCCACCAAAAGTTCCTCGGCAACTTCTCCTCCTGCCTCGAGATCCCCGCCCCCGAAGCGCCCACATCGCTGCCCGGCAGCGGCTCCAATTGGTCGGAGGAGGGGCTACGGAGGCGTGGCTCGTGCGAGTCGGGGTTCTACTCGAGCGTGGGGGAGTGTCTGTCGCCCAATAGCGTGTGGGGCAGCTCGCTGCCGTCGTTAGAGCATGCGCATGCGTGGTGTAAGCGCGCCTCATCGATTTACACGGACAGCAGCGAGGACGTGTCAGGGTCGGATTGGCCCGACGAGATGCAGCCGAATATTTCGACGATCGTGGAGTATTTCGAGAGGAAAGGGACTGCATTAAGGCGCCCGGGGAGAGTGAGGGGCGGGCTGCAGCTGAGTTCGAGGATAGCGGCTTTGAGGAGGTCTGTAACGTTTTTATTTTTTTAACATCTCTTACTTACATTGAAATGACACCTTCCTACCTTATCTTCTACTTTAATTCCAAATAAATTTCTCAGAGGAAACACTATAGAATTTAGACACTTTTATTGTATGTTTGCAACACTTCAAAGTGTGTTCACACTGTCTCATCTTGTGTGTCATGAGTAGAAGGTATCAAAGGTAACAAATAAAATATCCAATTAATCTGAAAGTTATTGAATTGAAAATCTACAAAAATTCCATATTAAATGAACAATCTTACCTGAATCTTCCTAAAATATAGGTGAATCATAAAATATAAAGGATATGCTCTCCTATCCAATGATAATCATCATATTTCTCAACTATTCATTAATTTTTCCTGAAAATAAGGAAAACAGCAAGCATTATAAGAATCCACAAAATAATATAGATAATCAGGTCTGTAACGTTTAAACGAGGAGGCAGACAGACTGGCAAATATCGGTTCAGGACGGACCTCGGTCGGACCGGAAACAATCTTGGGAATACCAAATAGCCTGGCAATGTCCTCTATAGAGGAACAGCTGCAAAAGCAATTCCTCAAAATATGGCAGGACACACCAGGAATGAGACAATCGAAGCTCCACATAAAGGAACCTTTGAAGAGGCTCGCAAAAGAGGTTTTATTCCTAAACAAGCGAAACCTTAAAATGGTAGTGGGGCTCCTAACGGGGCACAACCACCTCAATAGGCACCTAGAGCTTATTGGGATCAAGGATGACCCCCTTTGCAGATGGTGCCTGGAAGATGAAGAGACGTCATCACATGTCCTCACTGAGTGTCCAGCACTGACGCATCAGAGGCAACATAATTTTGAGGCCAGAGGACGTAAAAGAGATTCAGCTGAGGAAGGTGCTGAACTTCCCCAAGGCAGTCGGCATACCCAGCTGAATGTCGTAACATGTGGGCGCACAATGGGCCCGAATAAGGAGGCCCACGTGCAGGGGGTTCACCCGCCCACCAGTGCTTCGAAGAAGAAGAAGAAGAACGTTTTTATTATCTAACATAACTTGTTTACATAAAAACGACACTCTACATTATCTTCTACTATAATACAGGAGATCAGACAAGGAATAATCAAAGATACGTACGGTATACTCCACTAGTGTTTATATAAAACTGCTGTAATTCATCCTTTGAGTTCATCAATATCCGTCGGTTGTGTGTTATAAATAACGGATTTAAGATGTCCCCCAAAGGAAAAAATCTAAAGGAGTCAAATCCGGTGATCTCGGAGACCACTCAATTGCTTCCCTTCTGCCAATCCATCTATCCGGGAATCTATCATTTAACCACTGTCGGACGGGAAGAAAATAATGAGGTGGAACACCGTCCTGCTAGAAATGTAACAGATCCTCCTGCAAAAGCAAATTACCGTCTGCATCAATTTGATTTTCTAGCTCGTGAGTTATAAGAGGATCGATAGTATCTTCAAGCATATCTAGGTACAGATTGCCAGTCAGATTTTCTTCAATAAATAAGGACTAACAATGGCATTTCCAAGAATACCAGCCCAAACATTAATTTTTTGTGGTTGTTGTGTATGTCCTTCTCGAAAAATGTGAGGGTTTTCGTCACTCCAATAGCGACAATTTTGTCTATTAACATTTCCATTCAGAAAAAATGAGCATTCATCGCTGAAACAGATATTTAGCAATAGATTAGGGATGGCATTGACTCGATATGACATCGTTTCACAAAATTCTATTCTTCTATCATAATCATCCCCATGGAGCTCTTGAAGAATCTGCATCTTATATGGATGAAATTTATGTAATTTCAGTGCTTTTCTTATAGTCCCGTGTGACATTCCCGTCTGTTCTGCCACTGATCGTAAGGAGCTAGTAGGTTCTGCAGCAAATGTTCCCAAAACTTCAATTTGAGCTTTCTCATTCAGTACTCTAGGATTATTCCGTTTTTTATGGAATAACGAAAAAATACTGAAGTTGTACTCAATGAAATGAGATATTAGAATCTAGAAAGAAATTGAAAATTGGTTGATCCAATCCAAAGTTATGACGGTCCGAAAATGATAGAAATGTTTCCTTGTCTCACTTCAAATGAGGGGCAGTTTATATGGGTCGTTGGTTCTAGTGCTAGAACCAACGAGGAAATGCAATTGAAATAGTATATTACACACCGAGCTGGGAAGTGATTCATTCCTGTCGTGAGATTAGTTATATTTTCGAGACAGGAATGAAACTTCCTACCGAGGTTTGTATACTACATTCATTATTCCAAATTTTTTGGGATTTTCTCTCCTCGTTTCTATGAAATAAAAATATGAATATTATTTCAATATACGTGTAGTAAGGACAAATCAGATGATTTGCCCCAAAATGTCACTGCGTTTAAAGAATTTTCCTATCAGAGAGCCTAAAAGAAAAATTCACTAGCTTGTCAGTGACAATTTGTATTGAAAAAAGTTTGGAGAAGAGAAATAAAGGTATATAGAAAAAATATCAAATTTTCACTTATCTTTGGACGTTTCGGGACCGATTCTGCTTCCGTTTTCAACATAAGAAATGATTATTTTAATAGCAAAGTCGTATCTGTCTTGAAGCTTTTCAGTTTTCATCCTGTAACTCATTTGATTGCCAACGTCACCAATTGTCAATGAAAACTGAAAAGCTTCAAGACAGATACGACTTTGCTATTAAAATAATCATTTCTTATGTTGAAAACGGTCCCGAAACGTCCAAAGATAAGTGAAAATTTGATATTTTTTCTATATACCTTTATTTCTCTTCTCCAAACTTTTTTCAATACAAATTGTCACTGACAAGCTAGTGAATTTTTCTTTTTGGCTCTCTGATAGGAAAATTCTTTAAACGCAGTGACATTTTGGGGCAAATCATCTGAATTGTCCCTACTACACGTATATTGAAATAATATTCATATTTTTATTTTATAGAAACGAGGAGAGAAAATCCCAAAAAATTTGGAATAATTTTAATAATGTTTTGTTCTGAACATACCTGAATTATTACAATAGTGAGGGCGGGAAGTGAGTAGAGAAGTAGAGGTGTGTAATGTGACACTTCCCAACCTTCAATGACATTAGTATTGACAACATTACATATATGGTTGTAAATAAAAAAAAGATAACAAAAAATAAATAGTTGAATTTTTTGTTTCAGGTCGCTGGAAAGGCAAGATTCGGGCGGGTCGAGCACGTGTTCGCAGGTCAGCGTGCCGAGGACGAAGTGCTCGCGATTGGTTGTTTGCGAGGGGGCTGTCAGGTCGAAGTTGCCGCTGTTCGATAAGAAGTAGGTGCCTGGACGAGAATGTAACCAATGTTTTTTTTTTTCGGATGGGATTCTGTCCATTTTATTCATTCGGAAATGATTTTCCTTTAGTTTCATTTCGACAAAGGGAATTGTGATTAGTAGCATTGATGTCATCAATGTCAACTGTCATTCATTACTGTCAATGATACGGAAAACTCCGAATATTATCTATTCTGTAATGTTCTGAATGAAGAAGTAGAGGTGTAGTAGTTCGATTTCAAAGACTATGCTGGAATTTTCGATAAGAAGTAGGAGACCGCGGATGAGAATGTAAACAATGGTTTTTCGGATGGGATTCTACTAATTTTATTAATTTGGAACTGATTTTGCCTTGAATTTCATTTCGATGAACGGAATTGTTATTAGCAGTATTGATTGACGACTGTCATCACTGTCAATGATACCGAGAAATTCGAATATCATCTATTCTCGGGTCGAAGCTGGCGCTGTTCGATAATAAGTAGGTGCCTGGATGAGAATGTAACCAATGTTTTTTTTTCATTTCATTCATTCGGAAGTGACTTTCCATTAGTTTCATTTCGAAGAAGGGAATTGTCATTAGTAGCATTTATGTCATCAATGTCAACTGTCATTCATTACTGTCAATGATACCGAAAAATCCGAATATTACCTATACTGTAATGTTCTGAATGAAGAAATTTCAAAGTATATGCTGGAATTTTCGATGAGAAGTAGGAAACCGCGGACGAGAATATAACCAATGTTTTTTCGGATGGGATTCTAATCATTTCATTCATTCGGAAGTGATTTTTACTCCAATTCCATATCAAGGGAATTGTGATTAGTAGCATTGATGTCATTAATGTCAACTGTCATTCAATACTGTCAATGATACCGAAAATTATCTATTCTGTAATGTTTTCAATGAAGAAGTAGAGGTGTAGAAGATTATGCTGGAATTTATAAGAAGAAGAAGAACGGAGGGTTCGTGTGCGGACAAGAATGTAACCAATATTTTTTCAGATAGGATTCTGCTCATTCTATTCATTCGGAAGTGATTTTTCCTTTAGTTTTATTTCGACGAAGGGAATTGTGATTAGTAGCATTGATATCATCAATGTCAACTGTCATTCATTACTGTCAATGATACCGAAAAATCCGAATATTATCTATTCTGTAATGTTCTGAATGAAGAAGTAGAGGTGTAGAAGTTCGATTTCGAAGACTATGCTGGAATTTTTGATAAGAAGAAGAAGAACGGAGGGTTCGTGTGCGGACAAGAATGTAACCAATGTTTTTTCGGATGGGATTCTCCTCTTTTCATTCATTCGGAAGTGATTTTTCCTTTAATTTCATATCGACGAAGGGAATTGTGATTAGTAGCATTGATGTCATCAATGTCAACTGTCATTCATTACTTTCAATGATACCGAAAAATCCAAATATTATCTATTCTGTAATGTTCTGAATGAGGAAGTAGAGGTGTAGAAGTTGAGATTTCAAACATTACGCTGGAATTTTGATAAGTAGGGAAGCGCGAAGTAGTTTCATTTCGACGAGAGGAATTGTGTTAGTAGCATTGATGTCAACTGTCTTTCATTCCTGTCAATGATATCAAAAAATTCAAATATCATTTATTTTGAATGAGGAAGTAGAGAGTTCTACTCATTTCATTCATTCGGAAGTGATTTGTCCTCTGGTTTCATATCGACGAAGGGAATTGTGATGTCGTCATCTATGTCAACTGTCATTCATTACTGTCAATGATACAAAAAAATTCAATTATTATCTATTCTGAATGAGGAAGTAGAGGGTTCGTGCGCGGGCGAGAATGTAACCAATGTTTTTTGGATAGGGTTCTCATTTTATTCATTCATAAGTGATTTTTCCTTTAGTTTCATTTCGGCGAAGGTAATTGTGATTAGTAGCATTGATGTCATCTATGTCGACTTACTGTCATTCATCATTGTCAATGATACCAAAAATTCAAATATCTATTCTGATTTCTGACTGAGGAATCTTTGATGAAAAGTAGGAGAGCGGTTTTTGTGGATGAGGTTCTGCTCATTTTATTCATTGGGAAGTGCAATCCTTCCACGAGAGAAATTGACATATTATAGATGTTAGAGGTTATATTTAAATATCGGGGCTCCAAATAATTTCAAAATCATAATACAATAGTTAAAAATCAAGCAAATGAATCAACGCATATTGGGAGCAGTGATTGTGGTGATTGGAGAAAGTTCTCTGAGATCGAGAGAATAAATTTTATCTGGGAATGAAGATATAAAACCTGCCTTACTTGAAAGAATCATAATAATGTCTTCTAAACTTCTTCTTCTTTCGAAAAGTTTCGTTTTTCGTCAATCTAATTTCATTTTTTGACAACTGTCACCAGTCATTCACGCCATTCCTTGAGACGGAATGAGAAGTAGCAACCGGAATCGAAGGGTTGCAAATAAAACGACATATCAAAGTGATTCCGATTGCGAAATCGGATAAATAAAACGCAACTATTAGCAGCATTGATGTCATCAATCTCATTTGTCATTTCTGTCATTTATATCGAGAAATTTCAATACTCCTGCGAGTTTCATAATTATCATCTATTCTAAACAAAGGAGTAAAGGTATTTGCATTTGGAAGTGATTTTTCCTTTAGTTTCATTTCGGCGAAGGAAATTGTGATTAGTAGCATTGATGTCATCTATGTTGTCTTACTGTCATTCATCATTGTCAATGATACCAAAACTTCAAATATTATCTATGCTGAATGGAAAAGTAGAGGTGTAGAAGTTCGATTTCTAACACTATGCTGGAATTTTCGATATGGAGAAGGATTCTGTTCTCCTTAGTGCGCGGACGAGAATGTAACCAATGTTTTTTCATTCATTCGAAAGTGATTTTTCCTTCAATTTCATTTCTACGAAGGAAATTGTCATTATTAACATTGATGGCATCAATGTCAACTGTCATTACTGTCGATGATACCGAGACATTCAAAAATATCATTTATCCTCAGATCGAAGCTTTTCAAGAAGTACGAGAGCGTGCATAGACGGAAGTGATTTTTCCTTTAGTTTCATTTCGGCGAGGGGACATGTGTTGGTAGCAATGATGTCATAAATGTCAACTGTCATTCATTACTGTCAATGATACCAAAAAATTCAAATATTATCTATTTTGAATGAGGTTCGACTGCTCATTTTTTTCATTCGGAAGTGATGAAGAGAATCGTCATTAGCAGTTTTCATAAATATCTCATATTCTGTACAATGTTTTTTTGGGCGAGGTTCTGCTCATTTTTTCTATCTGGAATAAGTGATATTTCATTTCATATCGACGGAGGGAATTTTCATTTGCGGCCTTGATTACATCAATCTGAACTGTTATTGCTATCTATGATACCGAGAAATTTGAATACTTATGTGAGTTTTCATGAATATCATCTATTCTAAACGAAGAAGTAGGGTAGTGTGGAAATTCGATACAGATACGATAAAGATCATAAAAAGGCGCTAAAGATGGAAAGAGAAGCATGACATGTCGGTTCGCCGTGGTCTATCACGTTGTATATGAGACCACCAAGGGCAACTACTAAACTAACGCCAAACAAAAGTTGGGCAGTACTCTTCGGGAATATCAAAACATACTCTATGTCGGTGTTACTGATTCAGATTTTCCATATCACTGACAATAATGACAGTCAACATTGTTGACACTAGTGACACTAATAACGGATTGCTATTGGTGATGCAAAGATTACATGCAATCATCAAGAGTCATGATTTAAAAGCTGAAACTTCAAGTTCTGTGAGTACAATTTGACGTGAGAGTCATGGATTGAGGTTATGTATTCAGAAAGAAAGTTTTATCATAAATCATGGCATTTCTTGGTTGACTGCTGGTTAGTGTTGTTCTTGGACTGATTTAAATTTTGCCACTAGAGCTACAAGAGAGAAAGTGAAAGAAAAAATCACAATTTTGCCGATATTTCAAGAAAACATGCACATGCATGCATCATCTTTGCTTTCGGCTACATATAGCTACTGTAACCTTTTTTTAGTTTGAAGACTGGTGAATTACTAAAAACCTAAAAATTCACCCAAAATACCACAAAATTATTTAGGAAAGCCTAAATACGTGTTTCTGCAACTGAGTTGCCATCTTCAGTAGACCTGAAAAATAAATGGATATTGACTGACTCTTAAGTATTTTCTGGGATAGTTTTCTAGAAATTTCTATCAACAATTTTTCTTTATCATCATTGAATTTATACATTGATGTATTCAAATATTTGTGCAAGTCGGAACCACCAGAAATAAGCTGAGCGATCAAGTACTTTTACTGGTTACATGCTCAGGAATATGTTATTGTTTTCTTCTAGTCATATTGTATCTAAAGTTGTTTGAGGCCTAAATGACGGTGGATTTCAGAAAATCTATATTTTATACTTAGATTGTACATAGTTTTTTTGGTGAGATTGCTATATTATTTAAAAATTGTAATTTGATGCTGTTGGACCGAAAATCAGTTATATTGATAGGTAATCGAGATGATAAATTAATGTCCTGATAGGTCTCTTCACTTTATTTTTAAGGTTCAACATAATATTAATACCAAAGCTGTTATGAAATTATTGTATTCATGAAAAAAAAACGACAATCACTGTAGCTGAATTTGAGACTATTGTCGCAAGTGAATTGAATGATTCATAAAAAAATATGTTTAATGAAACAAATCATTCAACTTTTCACTATGGGTAAATCGTGTCGATGAAATTATAGAAAATTACGAATTTTAGAGAAGCCAATATGTTTTAATAAATGATACCTATATCTAGGCAGCTGCTGTGAAGATTTTTTCACATGAAGAGATTAGGATTTTGTGATGGGAAAATTCAGTATTTTCGAATCAGTGAACTAATCAATATACAGTGTTACTCAATATACTCATTTCATAACCGATTTCCATAAAAATATCTCGATTTCCAGGGCATGCTATGATTTCATCAACATTTGAA